CCCTGCTCTGTCCAGGCCAGGCACGGGGACGCCAAGAACAGCACAGCCAACCAGCTGCCCAAGGAGCCAGCACCTTGCACAACCACCTGGGGGGCTCTAACACCCCTGCCAGTGCCCGAGGCCACACCTTCCCTGGAGGGCGGGAGCCTGCCAAGCCTAGAGAGGTGGGAGAGTCAGCGTGCAGGGGCACAACTGCTGTTCAGAGCCCCAAACCAGAGCCAGAGCCAAGGCATCCAAGGGCATTCAGAACACACACCACTTTTTTTTTTTTTTTTTTTTGATCTCAGCTCACTGCAACCTCCGCCTCCCAGGTTCAAGCAATTTTCTTGCCTCAGCCTCCTGAGTAGCTGGGATTACAGGCATGCACCACCACACCCAGCTAAGTTTTGTATTTTTAGTAGAGACAGGATTTCACCATGTTGGCCAGGCTGGTCTCAAAATCCTGACCTCAGGTGATCTGCCCACCTTGGCCTCCCAAAGTGCTGGGATTATAGGCATGAGCCACCATGTCCAGCCACCACTTTCTTCTTTTAAGAGACAGGGTATTGCTCTGGTGCCCAGGCTGGAGTGCAGTGGTGCAATCACAGCTTATTGTAACCTCGAACTCCTGAACTCAAGTGATCCTCCCACCTCAGCCTCCTGAGTAGCTGGGATTGCAGGCGCATGCCACCATACCCAGCTAACTTTTCTATTTTTTGTAGAGATGGAGTCTTGCTGTGTTTACACAGCACATTTTTACTCCAAAGTCACATGTCCCTAGGTGTTCATTCTGTGTGTTGGCACTGTGCAGGGGGCTTTCTTTCCATTCACCTTATTTGCTCCTCACAAAAACTGCTGAAGAAATTCCATTTTACAAAGAAGGAAATCAGGTTAAGTACTTGCCCAAGGTCATACAGCTAGTGCGTGGCCAGGATCTGAACCTGGCTCCATCGTCTGCAGAGCCCAGGCTCTCGTACCATTGCTACACTGCACTGCCTGGCCCTGCAGAGACCAGTCCTTCACCTTCTGAGTGGCCATCCGCATAACCTCTTCATGCTGGGGGCTGGGAGAGGGAGAGGGGAAAAGAAGGTCAAAGTTTACTCCACCTGGACCCCACTAGGTCATCCTGGACATCAAACACAGCCTGTCCCACCCTTGGGGCTCAGTGGGGTGAGGCTTCTCCTGCCTCCTCTGCCTGCCTTGTGTCTTTTTCTTACAACTAGACCAGAAGGAACACAGCCATGTCTTTTGCACCTCTGTATCCCCATCCATACCCTACCCCATGCCTTGCAGATAGTAGGTACTCCATGCATTTTCCATGAATTTTAAGGAGTGGCCCCTCACCCCTCTCCACTACCACTGCAAGGACAGACCCAGAGGAAGACAGGAGCCCTGGAAACATCCATCAGTGGGACTAAGGGGAGGACCAGAGGGAGAAAGTGCCCCAGCACTCCTGCCTTCCAGCAGAGCCAGCCCCCAGCTCCCCAAGCCCTCCTAGGAGACACCTCCCCAGGGTACCCTCCCCACCAAAGACTGGGAGGTCAGGTGTCAGGTTAGGCTCTCAGGAAGGAATTCCCCTCCCTTCAAGCCTCCAGTCAGAGTTCCTCTCAAGGGAAAGCCAATGAAAGGCAGGACTCGGACAGGAGAGAAAGGCACCAAGCATGGGGTTCCTGAAGGTCCCCTCTCCTCTGATGCTTGCCTGGGTGCACCGCTCAGAGACACCATCAATTCCCCCTCCTCCCACCGTGTTACCTACCATGGGTTGGAAGTTATCTTACCACAGGGTGGTTAAGCCCTGGCCTTTGGAGCCCCACACCTGGATTCAAATCCTAGCTCCTTCACATATGAGCTGTGTGGCCAAGGGCCAGTTACTCCACCTCTCTGAACTCCCTATCCCCTTGGTCATTAGGCCTACAGACTCAGAGTCCAGGCCTCCTGGTTGTTTCTGGGCTCTGATTCTCGAACCAGACTATCTGGGTTCAAATCCCAGCTCTAATCCGTGCTTAACCTCTCTGCCTCAGGATCTTTATCTGTAAGGTGGGGACAATAATAGTACCTACCCACCATCTAGCATTATTGTGAGAATTAGCAGAAGGAGTTTATGCAATGTGCTCAGACTAGACTTGGCACACAATTAGCACCCACTAAGTATTGGCTATCATTAGCAATAGCTGATAAGTTTGGAACGTACCATGCACCGCACCTTGCACCTTGCACCTTGCACCGTCCCTGACTGGTAGTAAGAGCTCATTAACTAGAAGCTATGATTACCTTCACCCCACTAGACTATCCTGGCCCTGGGGGTGGGTTCTGGGTTATATCTATCTTTGATTCCCCAGCAGCCAGCACGGGGCCTGGCACCAAGCTCAAAGAAGACCTGCCCGGAGGATCAGAAGATCCAGGAGGGTGTGGGGTGGCACGAGCCTCCCACCAGGGAGAAGAGGAACCGAGGTGTCAGGGAAGAGAAAACAGAGCAGAGGGAGAAAGGCCGAGGCAGAGAGATAAGCAAGTGAAGTGAGTGAGAAAAGGAACAGGAGAGGCTGTGGCGGAGAGAGATAAGGAGGAAGGATGGAGAAGGCGAGGGTCGAGGAAAATGCCCAGGGAGGCAGGGAGCCCCGGGGACAAGCGCTGGGCGAGGCCAGGGCCGCAGCAGCGGAGCCGAGCCGGGAGAGG